GGGACCCGTCAGTCCATCAAAGGCGTTTCCTGGGCTCGTTCAGTCCGAGGCGGACCCGAGCTGCTTCGTCCTCACCCGCAACAGCACGAAACTCATCGTCGTCATCTACGTGGACGACTTCGGCATCTTCCACTCCGGGACCACCGCTGGCAGGGCGCTCGCGCACGAGTACATCGAGCACTTCAACAAGCACGTCGGCAAGCCGCTCAAGGTCCACGAGGGAAAGGTGCACGAGTTCCTCGGGCTCAACATCACCAAGACGCAGACCGGTTTCAAGCTGTCTGCCAGCAAGTACATCGACACGCTGCGCGCGCGCTTCTTCCCGTCAGGCGTCACGCACGCGGGCTACAAGGTGCCCGCGGACAAGGACCTCCCGTCCATCGTCATCAGCGCAGCCGAGAAGAAGACCGCGCCCGACCCGCAGCTCCTCCAGCGCTGCCAGTGCCTCATCGGCAGCCTCATGTTCGCCACCAACGCGCGCCCCGACATCCAGTACACCGTCTCGCAGCTGGCGCGCTGCATGGCTTGGCCCGACGCGAACATCGAGGCCGCCGCCGAGCGCTGCCTCATCTACCTCATCGGCACGCAGGACCTCGGCCTCCACTACGAGCGCGTCGCCGACCCCAAGCTCTTCGGCTGCTCCGACGCGAACTGGTGCACCCGCCAGAGCACCTCCGGCTGCGCCTTCAAGATCGGCACCGCGATCGTCTCGTATTTCTCCAAGAAGCAGGGTCACATCTCCCTCTCGACATTCGAGGCCGAGATCTCTGCCGGCACGCTGGCGGCTTGCGAGGCGGTCCACCTGCGCTCGCTCCTCGCGTCGCTCGGCTACAAGCCCAAGGGCCCGACCATCATCAAGATCGACAACACGGCCGCGCTGCGCGTCGCCGAGGACCCGGTCATGCACGACAAGACGAAGCACATCCTGCGCAAGGAGCTCAAGATTCGCGAGCTCGTCGAGTCCGGGGAGGTCAAGGTCGAGTACGTCGAGAGCCTCAAGAACTTCGCCGACTTCTTCACCAAGCCGCTCCCGCGCAAGGAGTTCGAGTCGTTCCGCAAGGAGATCATGAACGACACCGCCTCGGGCCGGCGATTGACTCAGGTGGCGGAGCAGAGTACGCCATCGAGGAGGACCCGCTCCAGCCGATCTACCGCAAGGTCGCGGGCGACATGTTCCGCGCGGTGAATGACATCGACGTGCCCAAGACGGTCCCGCTCGTCCTCTCGTACACGTGCATCATGCTCGCCATGTACGTGGCGCGCATGGACGCGGTGCAGGCACACGCGCTTGTCGGGCATGAGGTCGGAGGTAGGAGCACGGTACTCGATGCCGTTCCAGAGCGTTGACGCAGAAGGTCGCCTGCGTGGTGGTGCCGATGTGCCCCTTGCGCGGACCCTCGGTGATGACGTACTTCCAGCCGGGCGAAGTGCGCGAGATGCCGAGGAAGGCCGCCATCTCGCCCGTGGGTGAGACACCGTTCGCCACAAGGTGGGGGGGGCGACTTGACGATCATCTTGCACGCCCACGGGTAGAACATGTTCATCTTGGGGCGCTGCCCGGTCTTGAGCTCGTACGCTGACTTGCCGGTGTCGCGCACGGCGAAGGTGGCGTTGGCGATGGTGGCCGCGTACACCCAGGCGTAGCCCCAGTACTGGTAGAGCTGGGCGGCGCCATGCCCCCCTGCGCGCGCCATCATCTCCCGCACGATCCTGCCGCAGGTAGCGTTCGCACGCTCGCACGCCCCATTCTGCCACGGCTCGTAGGGGCAGCTGTGGCGGAGGGTGATGCCGTACTTGAGGCAGAGCTCGCGCACGGCGCTGGAGTTGAGGACGACCTCGTTGTCGCAGAACGCAACTCCTCCGCGGAACGTGTGCCCGTCCTTTCCCTCGTTCTCGGCGAAGTACTTGCGCAGGTAGGCAGGCGTCTGGCCCTTGGTCTGCAGTGGTCTCTCAAGTCCTTCACAGAAGAGGCTGCGGCCGCGTCCACTCCAAAGCCTTGACCGGCCGGCTCAGGGGGATGGACGACTCGCGCCTGATCGGCGTCTCGCCGCTCAAGCTCTCTAAGCGCGCATCCACCGACGTCGCCTTTGTCTTTGTCTTCCTCCTCTCGGTCGGCGCTGCCGTCGCGTGCGGGCTCCACGGCGCGGCGAACGGCGACCTGGAGGCGCTCACCTCGCCCCCAGAGGGCTGCGGCCCCAAGCCCGGCGCGGGCGTCGCGCGCCGCCTTCTCGCCTCCGCGCCCGACCCAGTCCCGACCACCATCTTG